AGCAAATCTCGCTTTTCAGAATGTTACACTCAAAACAAAGATTGTGAAGAAATGCGCTCATCACTCTCAAAAGAATGTCACAAGTCCGGCTCTAAGTACCATAAGCTTGCTCCTTATGTAAATCACCACTAATATAAGCTCACTCAACTTGAAATCATATAGGGCTTTAGCAGGGATGTAATGAAGGCTTTTGGATCAAGGTAGGACATAACGAACTATGATGGTTTCATCTTTCCTTAAGCACTCCATTTTTTCATTTCGGCTCATGCTTTCTTGACTCTTTGAGTCATTTTTCTTCTTCCTTAGGGGAACTAGAGAGACAAACCGTCACTCTTTCTTACTCATGACAATCATTTTTCTCCTTTTCTCATCATTCTTTGCCTTTCATCATTATGTTCTTTAAATCCCTTCAACCTTCTCTTTCTTTTTGACGTATTTCTTTTTGGCTTTTCTTCCTTTTCTTTGCCTTTCCTTTTCAACAATTCTTTTTCTTCTTTGAACCTTTTATTACTTTCAAATTACTCGTCTCTCCCCCAAACTTATACTTTTGTCAATTGTTTATCATGAATGCTAAGAAAAGATTGGGTGCCAAGAGAGGATCATTATATAACGGATAAAGGCTTATAATATGGCTATTGAATGAAAAAGGCTTAGGCTAAAAGGAGTTGACTAGGGATATCATATTAGTAGGCTACGGAAGATTTCAAAGTTCAACTTGGACCAAGGAGAGCCTACAATCATTTCTCAAGTCGAGCTACACTTAGAATTTCGCCTAGACAAACATTCAGGGCAAGTTCTAGACTTATTGGCACGAGACTTATACTTGCAATTCAATACCTCACCTCTCAAACTACTGGATTGTTAAAGAGAACAGGTTCGAGGGCCCACAATAACCCTAGCTAAGATTGAAGATTACAAATGGCTCAAAGAAAACACTCGATGATTGTTTTAGCCAACGCAAGAGTCTAAAGGTCACAACTAGAGCTAATCTTTGCCAATCAATTTGTCTCTAACCATGAGGTCGTAGGTAAATGTGTTAGTACCAAGTGAAGCCTGCTTGAGACACTTTTATTCATTACTACTACTATATACACCAAAATAAAAAGAAAACGGACTCGATCCCTTAAGAAGGTTGTCATGTCATCCATCGTTGGGAAGGGCCACCCGGTTCACACAACATCCACCTTTGGAAAGAACTGTGGCATTAAGAAAACCAAACGCGTAATTCTGATCATGGTCCGCGTTTCTTCACATCTGGACCTGGGTTGAACCTTGTTTCGCGGACCGCGTAATTTCCACCGCGTCCGCATGAGAAACTTCCGCGGCCGCGTAACTTTGACGCGGCCCGTCATTCTCACTTTTGCTTGAATTATGCACTCTCTGAACCTTAGCAATCGCGGTCCGCAGAATTTTCATCGCGGTCGTGCTGGTACTTTCGCTGCCGCATCTTCTTGTCGCGGTCTGCATTCATGTTTGTGCCCAAAAAATCAACTCTATGATTCTTCATATTGCGGACCTTGAAATAATGGTCGCGTCCGCGTTGATACTTTCGCGGCCGAACTTTTTTGTCGCGGTCCGCGTTCCATACCTCTTGGCCCGGTTTTGGTTTTTGTTCAAGTTTTGACTCCTTTATGAGTTGATTATGGCTCCTTTGGCTCATTTTGAACAATCCCTGCAAGCAAGCATATTACTTTAGTTTTCGGGAATACCTTCACGCATATTTGGTCCAAAACACAAGTAAAAGAGAGCAATTAATAGGCTAAATCCCTACTTATCGGTGCTCATCTTTACTTCTATCACTGATTTAATAAAGATGTAATGAACCTTTGGAATTGAATCAAAGCTTCAAAGAATCTGTAGATTTGTTTGATGTTTCAATTTTGAGTCAACTATTAATTGTTCAGTGTCTTTTGAAGACTACTTTAGCTGACTAAAAGTTTACGAGGTGATTAAAAATTGTTAAAATCTCCAATTCACAACGCCTTATTGTGTTTTTAGCAAACTAGAACATGTTAGTGAATTCAGCTACCTATGCCAACAGTAACATTAGTACAAAGATAACACCTTTATAAAAAATTAAAATACAAGGCACAATTCAACCCCTTCTGATCAACAATGCCATAAAGAAAACAGTCCTAACAACATCAACAAAGTGTCCAGTTAATTGTAGAAGCTTTCATCAACAGAATCTGCCCCATTGAATAATTTTCCATGCACTTGTTCCTTCCCCAAGTTTGAGTAATCAATCAAGCACAACTAGCTTTTGATACTCTTTCCCAGAAATTGCTGCTTCCATGATTGCTTCAGGATCATATTCCCTTTCTTTCAAGAATAGTTTCAGCAAATTCTTTGAAAACCCACTCACTAGTGCAACTCCTTTCTGGTTTGCAACCACAGGTGTAGCTATTGAGTCCCTCAAATACCAAAACACAATCTGCGGCACGCAATTCCCATAACCTTTCTCCCTAAATTTTCTAACAATAGCTTGATAATCTGCCTCCCATGGATTAGCAGAGGCCTGATCAAACTCCATATAACTAAACACACAGAGTTTCTTTATCATCTTTAGTTTCCCATTGACAGCTACTTGTAGTATTAGATCAAACACCTTTTGAAAATCAGTGTTCATTCCCCAATCCATATTTCTCACTATCCCAACCTTGGACCTTAAATCCTCCCCCTCAACTAGTTGAAGCTTTGGGTTCTTGCTGAATGTTATCAACCTCCCTTTCCAAGGCTCGACACTTAATTCTGAAACGAGAACGCCTAGCGCCACTGAAACCTCCATTGGTGTACCCGACATGCTAGCCGAGACATCACAAATAGCAAGACAATTTTTCAGTTTCCCCTTTTGGGACAAGTCATCTATCATTCTCTTCCGTTGCAACTCAGCAACTTGCTCGTCCTTCCACTTCCACCGACCAAAAAAATTCTTTATTATCTGATGAGGCAGCAGCGCACCTGCAGCAATCTTGGCCTTTCCCTGTTTTACTTTCTCAAGATATTGTTCAAATCTATATCTATCATGTTCCAAAAACTTGTCTTTGTACAATTCCATAGCAACTGAGGCCACCCTATTGTAAGGAATCCAACCCCAATCATTTTGCCCAATATAAACCTCAGGCAACTCCAGAGCTTCGCGTAAGGGCACTAGAACTTCTTTCCTCAATCGATCCCTCACTCTATACGCGTAATGTGCATCCTCAATTCCTTCATATTCGGGATATGACTCTCTTGGAAATATCTTCCTTGCAATGGTTTCGCATAAAAGTGTTGTCTTATCAAAAGACGAATCTAGAGGACACCATTTAGCTGCAAGGCTGATCCGTCTCAATTTCCCAGTTCTCAACAACTCAAGATCTAACTTCAGGTAATCCGCGAAAAGATCAGATACACGTTCATGCAAGAATCTATAATCAGGATCATTCCTATACCTCTCAACAGCCTTTTTGGCTATCTCTATTCTCTTCTGTTTCTTAATTTCAACTTTCTCCTCATAAGATAATTTAGGTTCTCCAAATGATCTCAGCTCTAAGCCTAAACGGTTCTCCGTTTAACTTTCTCATTTCCCATTCTTTTTTAGCCTTTTCTCTCACATCAGCTCCTTCAAGTAGCCGGTATAGAATCTCAGTTAAATCCTTGAAATACCCGAAATTCGCCACCGACTCTAAATTACAGGCAAGGGTCTTAGGGTAGAGACTATGAAGCCATAAAATGGCAGTGTAGTAACCTTCCTTGTCAGATTTGCCAGTGCACAAACACCACGCAAATTGCAAATAAGTTTCAAGGCGGTTAAAGAATCATCATTCCCAAGCACATTGCAAATATTTGGTAAGGGATTGAGGAGGAGTATCAGGAACAACATGAAAGAAGAAATCTAAACAAGGGTTTGAAGTAGAAAGATAGGTAGGTGACATATTTTCAGTGTAGCCCATATTAGGGGGTTGTTGTGCTTTTGTGGAATTGAAATTTGATACCATTAAGTCCATAAAGGGATTGCTAATAGTGGAGGCTGCAGATTGTTGAATGGTGGATGAAGATGTTTGTTTAACATAGATTTCTGGAGGGCCAATAAGTGAAAACACTATGGATTTTAGAGATTGTGCTGACTTCTTCATTGAAATGAATGTAACTTAGGACTGGAAGTAGGAGAGGATGAGGCCTTTTCTTTTTCGACAGAGGAGATTAGACTTTATAGGAAATATTTACTTGCTGACCAGTGTCATTTCTCTAAAAAAGTAACTTGTTGGCTAAGTAACAACGTAGTATTTGAATGTCGAAGGTAATTCCACTTTTGCTAATTTCCTTTTTTATCATTGTTATTCTATTCATATCTGATATCGGGATTTCATGATTTGAGAAGTTAAAAACAAATATATTCCCCTCTTAATGCTCTTAAGATTATATAGTTTTAACATTACATTATTTTGGTGGTCAAACAATTCTGTCTGTGTTACTGAAAATTAAACAAGACAATTTCTTTTCATTAAAAGCAAAATAAAACTAACAAATAATTGTGGTTATGACAGTACTTACAAGTAAACTATCTTAAATACGAGATTATATTTAGCAAATATGTCCTGTATATCTTAAACTATACAGGACATACATCTATTGCTGTTCGAAATTATATGTATTAGGATTATAAAATCCATATGTATTAGGTCTTTTTGTGCTTTAGTTTATATAATTTTAAAATGCGAAATGTAAACCCTAGCTAGAAATTAATAATTAAAAAAAACTAGCAAAATAGGCGGTTGTTGAACCTCTACATAAATGAGCAAGAAGGAGAAACTAATGTTATAACAGCGTATTCTAGAATTGCATAAAGATTTTACAACGAATCAATCCAACATTGATAGCATAGCAAAAAGAAAGTTTATAGAATATTTCAACAGCTAAAATACCCATTAAAAAAAGTTGTATCTAACATTATTTTATAGTCAATTTTCTAGTTTTTGATTAGATATAAACTCACTACCTCTGATAATCGCACAAAGTACAAAATAAATCATTCGAATACTGTTTAACTTAAATAGTTTTGATATTGTAATAAGAAGATTACATCTTAAGAGAGCTCGAAATACAGAAGCCAAAAGTTGTTACTTTTGCCAAAGAGCTAGGGATGCATTCTTCAGATAACTACTGGACAAAATAACTAATAATAGAAGTGTTGCAGTACAAGTTGTTCTTGCATATGTAATATAAAAGTCTTAAGGGAGGAGTCTGCTGACATTTTTAAGAAATCCACAATCAGTAGCAATTTGAAAAACCAATAGTATTTGGTAGCAGGCAACCAGCCAACTAGAAGCATCTACAGCACTCCTCCAAGAGACAGCAGCAACACAGAGTAGCCAAACTGCAGAAACCATCAGCTTTCAATAAAACAATTTGAACGACACGACTAGAAGAAATGTAAAGAACAAGCCTTCACAACCTAGAAATATATACTCCTTGTGTGTGTGTGTGTGTGTGTTTCATCTTCTTCTTCGTCTTTATCAAGTATCACCTTATTACCTTGTTTTTCCCTCTATTTTGCATGTGAGATGCTCAACATTTTCTTAGCCAACTTCTCCTTTCTATCATCTCATTTTTCTTCTATGTTTTGGCTTTGTATGCTCTTGCTCTCTCGAAAAGCAAGAATTCAAACACGCATAAGAGATAGAGCACGAGCATTGCAGTAGCTTATGCAGATTCACTTAAGTCGTGCTTTAAGTATGGTCACAGGTTGAGATATAATTAATTCAAGAAAAGATTTCTGCAGTTAAACCTTGAAAATGCACTTGGATACCACTTTCTACCTGATCCAAGGGCAACCTTAAAAGCTCTCTGTAATGCTATCTTTTGCCGATTAAGTTCTTCTTTCTCCTTTGAATTTAGTCTCCCACTCATATCAACAAAGATTTAAAGAAATAGATCGGACAACAACAATTCCGAAGCTGAAGTTTGCAACAGAAAAAGGAGAAGGAAAATAGAAGCCCCTCACAGATTCACAAAGAATTTATGAACAGCAAAAACTAGATGCAGCTTTAAGCCACAAGATGAAAGAATTTTAAAGCAGTCATGAAATAAGAGTAGAATAGAAATAAAAGCCTCTGGTGGTTTCACAAAAAACTAATGAGGGGCAAAACTAATTGGTGCGAATAGCTACAAGATGAACAAATGGCTAAATGATTCATACGCAAGACATTCTTCATGTATATCCCAGTGCAAGTAAGAAACTCTAAGTATGGGCACTATAGTTGAAATCTGAGGAAAATGGTTCTCTAGGACAGCAATAATGGCCATCTTAATTAGCTCCCGGGGTTCTGGTTTAGTGGCAAGAGCGCAACAAGCAACTGTGGGTTAGGCACACCTCACGAGCTCGAACTCTACCTCAGACTAAAAAAAAAACTAGTATTTCAGTGAAGGAGGGCAGAGGAAAAACTAGCCATTATTCTGAGTTTCAAACTGTGCGCTAGCTGACGCTTGGAGATTTCTTGGTTATGAAAAAAATAATGGCTGTCTTAATCAAGAAAGAACAAAAGACCTTGCTAATTATGTTGAACTGCCAAGCAGAAGATAGAAATGACAACTGAGTTTTGCTTGTACTTCGACAACATTTGCAACCAGGAATAACCAAATCTTATTGATCTAATGAACTGATGCCTATGCTTGCGAGGGGGGAAATAAGAAAACTAGGTTCCTAGAATCTGCTTGCCTGAAGATTTTCATTCAGGTAGTACTATTTCCTGTATTTATTTACTTGTCGAATTCATTTTCTATGCGATAGCTGAATAACATGAGAAAAACCTCCACATTGGAAGAGATTATTCTCTCAACATTACCCTGTTTCTAATTGGCATCAGAAGGAATTAATTATAATATGTCATGTATCAGAAATCACATGCATGGTTTATAAGCATATTCCAGCAATTTTGACTCACTACCAAGAGTGGGCCGCAGAACTATGTTTTTGTACTAATTACTAATACAGTTCACCAAACACATTGTTTACCTAGAACAGTCGTACGTTGCAAAAAAACAAGGCACAAAGGAGTAGATGTGGGACGCATCAAGTGAAGGAGCTCTTCTCCTCACTTCCCTCTATTTAAGTTCCTAACGAGAACCTCAACTAGGCTGATCCATGTGGGTTCCATCATGAACCTATCTAGAACCCTCATATGCAAAAGAATAAAATGATTCTTCTGTTGTTAATAGGTTAATCATATGGGATCTTTTCAACCTAACCAAAGTTCAGCCCCTTCATTTTACCAGGGTTGATCAGCAATCTAATTCCTCACCACTACTCTTCAAACACAAGTTCCCAAAGACTTTTCTTAAGGGAGTACGGTGCAATCTTTCTCAAGAATGTCACACAGATTTTTTCCTATTTCGATCTCGCCGTTACGTGTTTCGTCACGATTGGCATAAAGTTTGAGCTGCACCGAATGTGGTAGAATGCCTCAGGAAAAATGGAAAGAATACATGTCACTCATTTTTTACAGCTTGTCATTCCAAAGGTGTTATACTTTACCAAATTTTGATGTTCATACTACGTATGACTGATGGCTACACGTATGAGGATGACCAAAAAAAGAGCTAGGTCCCTAAGAGTCTGTTTTGGGAAAATACATAATTCCACCCTAAACTTGTCCCAAAAACTTGGTTACACACTTCAACTTTACGGGCATCCTTTTACCCCCTTATTATTTATCGAAGTGCATTAATTATCTCCCTAAAAATAAAGAACCACTTTTGTACTAGACAATGTTACACACGCTCCTGCCACGTCAGAACCATGTAGATGCCATCTAACTTTTTTTTCTCTTTTTTCCTTTTTTTTTTCTTTTGCATTTTTCCCGTTCATCTTCCATCATTCCTCCATTTTCTATAGCACCCACCAACACTCATATTCCGCCATGAAATACCAAAGCTCAAACTGCCCGAGAAAACTTTATTTCTTTACTTTACTTCTCTCTAATATAATTTTTTAGATCAAGATATTAAAATTATTAAACTTGAATGTCAAAATTAGAAACCCAACTGCCCCTTCATTCCACACCATGTGAGAATTCTTATGTTTCTTCCTCTTCCTAATCTCCAACATCTCACCATCCTCCATTTCTCTAAATTAATTTGACCACCACAGAACACATAATATACACCAGTAGTGGGACCTTCATCACACAATCAACACATATCCTCTCTAAAGTGAGATTCATCCATGGTCAAATCCCAAATCAAGATCCACTTGATTTTCTTTCTATATCTTAAATTTTAATCTTTGTAAATGGATTTATGTGAGACTATTTCAGTCTTTGCTGACAGTCTTTTAGTAAAAGAATTTTCCGCCAAACCCAATTTCTTTACTTTTTTTTTTCTTTTCCTTCCTGTTTTCTCTCTTCCTCTTTTTTCTGTCAAAACCTTCTAACTTAACATCAACGATGCTGTCCGATATAGCTGTTGCATTAACAATAGAATTTTGTAACTTTCACCGGTTGAATGTCGTACCCATTTTTTATTGCTACTCCAGCTTCTTCTCATCTATCAAATACTACTAAAAAGGGAGTTTCAAACAGATTCAGAACAACAAAGGTCTGTTTGAAAAAAAATGATAGAGGTGATTTTTGTTGTTGCCTTCTGGTTCATAAAGTTAGGTCATTTTTAATTGCAGGGAAGAAAGAAAAGGAAAAAAGTGAAAGAGTAGAGAGAAAAAAACGAATAAAAAATAAAACGAAAAGATTAAGAAAAACTTAAATTTAATTAAAAACGATATTAGTGAAATTTACTTCATTTTACTTATTATTTTTGCCAGCCACGCTTGTTCAGGAAAATGTAAACACTCTCTCTGCCACACCACCTCTAAGGTGGATAATTAATACCCTTCGGTCAAGAATAAGGGGGTAAAAGAATGTCCGCAAAGTTTAAGTGTGTAACTGAGTTTTTGGGACAAGTTTAGGGTGAAACTTATGTATTAGTCCTTTCTTATATGATAACTGAATAACATGATAAAAAACTTAACATTGGAGATAGATATTTATTCTCTCAATTTACTTAGATTCTATCCTTTTTAATTGACACCAGAAGTAATTCATCATGATGATGAAACGTTTTTATAAAACACATGCATATATTATAAGGATTTCTCTGCAGTCAACTTGCTATTTAGCAAGAGTGGGCAGCAGAATTGTTTTATTGAACTCAATACCACCACCGTAGACCATAAGTTGCTCCGACATGGCAGTTTAGGTGCCGCACCCGTTTCGGCACGACACTAGTATGTGTGTGGGTATGGGATCCGTACCGAATTTGGTCAAACAATTTTGGGTACTTTGACCACGACAAACGGAAAAATCCGAGACAGAGATACAATTTGATTTCCGAAATCAAAATCAAAAATAGGGTAAATTTGAAGAAAATAGCATACCTTATCTAGGAAATCAATCCTTTACTTATCTACAACTTGGGGGAAAAAAAAGAAAATCGACACTTTATAATATATACGTAAGTATTCCACAAAATTTCTCATAATTTAAAAATACCTTCTTTTTTTTTGGAATTATTTTTAGCCGGATCACCGCATCCGTATCCGTACTAGGATACGTTTCCCCGAATCTTACAATTTACATCTCGAAGGATCCGACCTCTAGATCCGCACCTGTGTCAGACACCCACACTTGTGTCTGAGCTTTAGTGTGTACCACCACTGTTCCCCTAATGCATTTTTTACCAAAAGCAGTCCATGTGGCGAAAGAATAACAGCATTTAACAACACATGCGGACACAAAATTTAGAATAATAAAAATTGGACGAAATTCAAGGAACCTAAGAATCCTGCCCTAAGAAGTCCATGTGGACCCGCACAGGTGACGACCTCCGGCTTTCTTCCTTCATTTTGAGATTCCTTAGCTAAGCTGAGTTTTGTGAATCCTGGTCATGAACCAAGCTAATACCCCTTAGGCACAAAACAGAACTTGACATCACTAAATACAAATACACCTAAGAGAAAAACGGTTCTCGTGTTGGCATTCAGTTAATCATCTTCTCAATCTTTCACCCTTCTTTCATATGGGCACTAAATCTAGTTCCTGATGACTATCCTCCAAACATCAAGCTCTCTATGACTTGAAAATTGCACATACATAACTATTTTCCCCACTACCAATGATAACAAATGAAGCAATATCCCCACATATTATCAACTCTCGCTTGTCTTTTGGCCATCAATTGCAGGAGTACAGATTATGTTGCATTAGTGCCTTTCAAATAAAAGTAAATTTTCCAAATTGAAATAGAGAGAAGAGGGTAGCAGCTGGACCTTAAAAAAATTCAAATTCTAATGTTACCTGAAAGGTTTAGTCAGATCAGTCGAATTGTTTATTCTGGTATGATAGCACAGATTTTAATTGATGACGAAGTTCCGTGACCAGATACAGGAAGAATATTCTTTTTTCCTTCATATCACTTTCTCCCCAATAGGCATTTTTATTACTCTGGCCTTTTGTTGTTTTATGATTCGAAAAGACCTCTTCTTTTAAGAACAAGCCCAAATATCTCTTGTAGAAAACGTCCATTTAGAATCAGTTGAAAACCTTATGGATATAACCAACAATAACTATGCCTTAGTCCCAAGTTGGGGTCGGCAATATGAATCCTCATTCGGATATAGCCCATGATAGAAAATGTGCGGTAAAGGGAAATCTAGTCAGCATTCAACACATGAAGCAAAATGGTGGAACCTCTAATATCCACTAGCCCGGACACTAGTGTTATAAACTTAAAAAATCAAATATATAGGAGAAAGAGAGTGAGAGATGACATACCACCCTCTTAGGAATGAAGAACAGCCATTGTCATCACCATGATAATAGCCACCACCCTGGTCGTGGTAGATGTGCTGAGGTGGTGGTGGAGGGTATTGATCATTAAAGTAGCCTTGATAACTGCCTCCAGGAGGTGGTGGAGGAGGAGGATAGCCGCCTCCACCGTAAAACCCTGGTGGTGGTGGCATCCCCGGTGGCGGGTATCCTTGTGGTTGAGGTGGTGGTGGTCCATACCCTAAAAATTTGTCAAATCACAACAACAGAAAGTTGAATTTACAACAATTAATTGACGAATTCACTAGTAGTAATAATTTAGTATCAAAAATTGAAACTCAGGTACTGATCATGCAATTAGGTATTCGTATTGTAACTTACCCCAAAAAAGTGATAAACAGAAGAACAAACAAGCGTAAAATCAGAACAGTCAAATAACCAATTCCCTAAAATAATCAAATAACCAATTTTTTTTAAAAAAAAAGGGTAATTCGGTAGACAAAGGTTGAAAATTGGGTGTTGTTGAAATTGTATTGTTATTGCAACTTGCCTAAAAGAAATGAAAAAAATACAAGAACAGACAAGTAAAACTAGAACAATCAAGTTGACCAATTTACTGGTGAAGTATTTGGTAAGTAAAGGTTGAATCTTTGGTGATCTAGTTATTGATATTATACCTTGCCTAAAAGAAGAGAAAAATACAAGAACAGACAAGTAGAATTAAAACAATCAATTGACCTAATTTACTAGACAAAGATTGAAAATGGGGTAATCTTGAAATTGTAACATACCTGGTGGAGGGTAGGGACCTTCGTGAACATGCTGGTAACTCATTTGGTGTCAGAGATGCTGGTTCTTGATTTTTTCTTGGTTGATAGAGAGAGAATTTGATGACTAAAAATGAAGAGAGGTGAGTAGATCAGCTAATATAGCGACTTTAACTTAGCTGCTAAGGTGGAGGAAACATATGTAGTACAGGCACGTCAGAAGATCAATCCATAAGATAATTTAAGGGTCGTTATCACTATTCACTATCATAGCCGTTCACGTGTTAGCAGCAGATAAAGTTAAGAGGTCTATAATTCAGCAAATGGCATTGCTTCAAAACGTGAGTCATGATCGAGGGAAGAGGTAGGGAATCTTTTTGAAAAATAGCCACTTTTAACCACAATTTAGCTAATATTTAAAAAGTAATTGGTATTTAGCTACTCTTTTGATACTAAATAATATTTGGATCAAAATATCCCAGTTAAAATACGAAAAACTCTATGTGCGATTACTACACTGTAAGCACTTATAAGTTCAAATTCCAGGAACAATTCCTAGAGTTTAAAATATGCGATACTCCAACATCGTATGCTGAAGTTCTAAACATTTAAAAAATAAACTCTACCGAAAAGGAGGATTTGCAGTCGTACCCTATATTTGTGTCACCTTTTAACATGTATCATATTTTTAAAAATTATTGATCTAATAGCCAGCTGATAAAAAATCTGTAATAATATGACAATTATACCCCTGACAAAAGATATAAAACCTGCATCACCCATTAATCGCGTGATCTGCAACCTCATTCGTGAAAAAAGATCTCCTCCTCTCCTCTCAACAAATTTATCAAAAAACTAGTAACTTGTCCAGATTCATCTTCAGAATCACACTTGCATGAAGTTGTTTCACCTTTGAAGCTAAAACTTCATGCTAATGTAGCATGAAGTTGTTTCATGTTGAAGCTAAAATTTCATGCTAATATAGCATAAAGTTATTTCACATTGAAGCTAAAACTTCATGCTAATGTAGCATGAAGTTGTTTCATGTTGAAGCTAAAATTTCATGCTAATATAGCATAAAGTTATTTCACATTGAAGCTAAAACTTCATGCTAATGCATGCTGAAGTTATTTATCCTCCAGTCTACAGTTTTGTCATGAGTTTTATCCGAAACTTCAGTCTAAACATGTAAGAAGTTATTTAGTTCATTTGCTAAAACTTCAGACTAAACATACTTAAGTTATTTAGTTCATTTACTAAAATTTCAGACTAAACATGCTTAAGTTTTTTAGTTTATTTGCTAAAATTTCGGACTAAACATGCTTAAGTATTTTAGTTCATTTGCTAAAATTTCAGACTAAACATGATTAAGTTTTTTAGTTCATTTGGTAAAACTTCAGACTAAATATGCTTAAGTTTTTGTCTTGTAGTATACAATTTTCTAATGAGTTTTTGCTAATGCATGCTGAAGTTATTTAGTTCATTTGCTAAAATTTCAGACTAAACATGATTAAGTTTTTTAGTTCATTTGGTAAAACTTCAGACTAAATATGCTTAAGTTTTTGTCTTGTAGTATACAATTTTCTAATGAGTTTTTGCTAATGCATGCTGAAGTTATTTAGTTCATTTGCTAAAATTTCAAACAAAACATGTTGAAGTTAGTTAGTTCATTTGGTAAAATTTCAGACTAAACATGCTTAAATTTTTTTATTTCATTTGCTAAAACTTCAGACTAAACATGCTTAAGTTTTTGTCTTGCAGTATGTAATTTTCTAAAGAGCTTTTGCTAATGCATGCTGAAATTATTTAGTTCATTTGCTAAAATTTCATACCGAAATATGCTGAAATTTTGTAATGCAGTCTACAGTTATGTCCTGAATTTTATCCGAAACTTCAGTCTAAACAAGCTAAAGTTTTTTAGTTCATTTGCTAAAATTTCAGACAAAACATGCTGAAGTTATTTAGTTCATTTGCTAAAATTTCAGACAAAACATGCTGAAGTTATTTAGTTCATTTGCTAAAATTTCAGACAAAACATGCTGAAGTTATTTAGTTCATTTGCTAAAATTTCAGACAAAACATGCTGAAGTTATTTAGTTCATTTGCTAAAATTTCAGACAAAACATGCTGAAGTTATTTAGTTCATTTGCTAAAATTTCAGACAAAACATGCTGAAGTTATTTAGTTCATTTGCTAAAATTTCAGACAAAACATGCTGAAGTTATTTAGTTCATTTGCTAAAATTTCAGACAAAACATGCTGAAGTTATTTAGTTCATTTGCTAAAATTTCAGACAAAACATGCTGAAGTTATTTAGTTCATTTGCTAAAATTTCAGACAAAACATGCTGAAGTTATTTAGTTCATTTGCTAAAATTTCAGACAAAACATGCTGAAGTTATTTAGTTCATTTGCTAAAATTTCAGACAAAACATGCTGAAGTTATTTAGTTCATTTGCTAAAATTTCAGACAAAACATGCTGAAGTTATTTAGTTCATTTGCTAAAATTTCAGACTAAACATGCTTAAGTTTTTTAGTTCATTTACTAAAACTTCAGACTAAATATGCTTAGGTTTTTGTCTTGCAGTATTAATTTTCTAAAGAGTTTTTGCTAATGCATGCTGAAGTTATTTAGTTCATTTGCTAAAATTCCATACCAAAACATGATAAAGTTTTTGTAATGCAGTCTACAGTTTTGTCCTGAGTTTTATCCGAAACTTCAGTCTAAACAAGCTGAACTTTTTTAATTCACTTGCTAAACTTCAGCCTAAACATACTTAAGTTTTTGTCATGCAGTTTGTCAATAGTCTTTTATTAAAGAAGGGAAAAATCGTCTTTTTAAAACGCTTTTAACAAAAACAAAATGGGTACGGATGCAAATAAAAAAATAAAACGGGTATAAGTTAAAAAGGGGCGACTAAATAGGGCGCCCCATGCAATTTTTACACCTGAAAGTACTGGTGTTTGAACATGTAAACAATTCACCGGTTTTTAGTTTATTCTTTACCCAATCGGCATCTCCATTGCAGCCCAAAAAGTCCAGACTACATAAAACTCTCAATTTAGTCTTTGCAATAAATGACACAAGGTAGCCATTTTTAAGTATGATATTTAAAATATATCCATAATTTATAATGTATTTAAAGATTAACCAATATATTTAAATCTCAAAGTTCCAACTTCAGGACATCGTGTCCTAAATTGTGTTCAGAAATTCAAATTTTATGTCCTGAATTTTAAATTAGCAGTTCAAACATTCAGGACACTAAGTCCTGAATTTCAAATTAGCAGCTCAAAGTTTCAGGATACAAAAATTCAGAATACTTAGTCTTGACGTTTAGGTGAATTGGCTAATCTTTAAGTACATCATAAATTGTGAATATATTTAAATAGCATACTTAAAAGTAGCTATTGGTGCACTTCACCTTTTATTTTATTTTCTATGTTAGTCATTTTCTTTAATCATACTTTGCTAGAAGTCTCCAACTACGATAAAACTTATTTTGTCTGTTACTCTCTCCTTTTTAGATATCAAAAATAGTTGAGATGGAAAATGCAAGTTTAATGTGTTTGAAGTTGCACAAGATACACAACCACGTAGACAACACAAATACAAGATTGAACCAATCAACAGAGTTTGTTGAATTCATATGCTCTTATCATGGTATTATAAAACAAATCGAGGAAAATAGTAAACTCAAACTACATGAATGTTCCTGGAGTTTGAACAGAAAAAGGTTTAAACTCCAGTAATTATCCTCGAGTTTAAACTACATATTTCGAACTTTAGGAATTATTCATCGAAGTTGAACAAGTAAATATTCAAACTTCAGTAGTCGTTCCTAAAGTTCTTCTGTATTTTAAGAAGGGGTATTTCTGTTCAAATTTTCGCATCAAAAAAATTTTTTTTTCCCTATTTTATTTAAAATAGTAGCTAAACTATAGTTACCGATTTAAAAGCTATCCTCCATAGCTGATCTCTTCAAGAAAAATTGACACACCGTGACAACTGCCAACATTAAATGGCATAAATAGTCATTTTATAGTTATTGGTATATGTTAACTTACATTAGATTTTTACCTTTAAAAATTAGTTGTTATAACCAAAATCCTTGTCCTTAAAAATAACTTCAGAATATTTGCCCGCCCTTCTCTCTCTTCTAACCTTTTTTTTTAGTTATTTTCCCAAATCTCTCAGTCTTTATTCCCAAATCTCTTTATTATTATACCCATGGCTCTACATCTGGCAATAAACTCTTTTGATTTTTGTGAATTACCGATATAATTTAATATTTTTTTAACCTTCGATCAATCACCTTTTTCACTTGTATTTGATTGAAGTTAGGGTTTGGATCAACAGAAATATTTATCTCCTTTCGACATTGTCAATACTTTATCTATGCATGTAGAAAAAGATTCTGTTTTTGAAGAACCATTAAAGATCATTGAAGCCTGGTTCAAATTTTTTGATTTGCATATTAGTATTATTTTTTCTCAATTCGATAATATCAGATTTTCTTGTAAAAATCTTAAGGATCTTGAATATCAATCTTGGAGGTATTTGTACACGATTTGAGGTAGATTTGAGCTAAATTTCATATTGAATACTCGAGGTTGAAGTAACTTGATATGTGTTTCCCCCATTGTATCATGTGTATATCTCCATGTATATTATAATGTATATCTGACAAACCAGTGAAAATAGATCAGAAAGGGAAGCTCGTTAATGGAGGTTAGGGTTTTCTAGAGAGTTCATCAGAGAGAACAAACGAAGAGAGAGAATGCAAAATTATCGGCCAAACCTTAACAGTTGTGGCCTCTTTTATTTATATCTTGTTTATACAATGTAAAATGGCTAACCACTAAAATGAATAACTACTATGTTATATTAACTAAGAATGGCTAACCAATACAAAAGGGCTAAGTATAACATAAATAGTCGGGCCAACTTAAGCCAAACTTAAGTATGTTGCTTTAGGCCTGAAGCGGTGCAAGCTAGTGGCCCAACACCCCCTTCAAGTTGGAGGGGGAAACAACCTTCAACTTGCCAAGAAAAGTGTGATGGAGAACCCTAGGTAGTGGCTTTGTGAATACATCTGCCAGCTGGTCAGAGGTAGGAACATGTGACAACTGGATGAATCCTTCAGTCAATTTACTGCGGATGAAGTGACAGTCCACTTTAATATGTTTAGTGCGTTCATGGAAAACAAGATTTATAGCTATGTGAATAGCTGCCATATTGTCACAGAAGACAGAAATAGGAAAGAAAACCTCAATAGTAAGA